ATTAGTTTTAGACCTAAATAATTGTTATTTAGTGCCAGCGTTGAGCATGAACATTATATCTGGATCTTGTTTAATGCGAGACGGTTATTCATTTAAATCAGAGAATAATGGTTGTTCTATTTATATTAGTAATATCTTTTATGGTCATGCACCCTTGATGAGTGGTCTATTTTTGTTGAATCTCGATTGTAGTGATACACATATTCATAATATTGAAGCCAAAAGATGCAAAGTTAATAATGATAGTACAACTTTTTTGTGGCACTACTGTTTATGTCATATTCGTGTAAAGCGCTTGAAGAAACTCCATGCTGATGGGCTTTTGGAATCACTTGATTATGAATCACTTGATGCTTGCGAACCATGCTTCATGGGCAGGATGACTAAGACTCTGTTCTGCGAAACAATGGAGCGAGCAACTGACTTATTGGAAATAATACAAACTGATGTATGCAATCCGATGAGTGTTGAGGCTCGCGGCGGGTATTGTTATTTTCTAACCTTCACAGATGATTTGAACAGATATGAGTATATCTACTTAATGAAACATAAGTCTGAAACATTTGAAAAGTTCAAAGAATTTCAGAGTGAAGTGGAAAATCATCATAACAAGAAAATAAAGTTTCTACGGTCTGATCGTGGAGGTGAATATTTGAGTTATGAGTTTGGTCTTCATTTGAAACAATTTGGAATAGTTTCGCAACTCACGCCACCTGGAACACCACAGCGTAATGGTGTGTCCGAACGTCATAATCGTACTTTATTAGATATGGTACGATATATGATCTCTCTTACCGATTTACCGCTATCATTTTGGGGTTATGCTTTAGAGACGGACGCATTCATGTTAAATAGGGCACCATCTAAATTCGTTGAGACGACACCATATGAACTGTGGTTTGACAAGAGACATAAGATATCGTTTCTTAAAGTTTGGGGTTGCGATGCTTATGTGAAAAAGCTTCAACCCAATAAGCTCGAACCCAAATCGGAGAAATGTGTCTTCATAGGATACCCAAAGGAGACTGTTGGGTACATCTTCTATCACAGATCCGAAGGCAAGATATTCCTTGCTAAGAATGGATCCTTTCTAGAGAAGGAGTTTCTCTCGAAAGAAGTGAGTTGGAAGAAAGTAGAACTTGATGAGGTAATTGTACCTTCTCCCGAATTGGAAAGTAGTTCATCACAGAAATCAGTTCCTGTGATTCCTACACCAATCAATGAGGAAGTTAATGATGATGATCATCAAACTTTAGATCAAGTCACTACTGAACCTTGTAGGTCAACCAGAGTACGATCCGCACCAGAGTGGTACGGTAATCCTGTTCTGGAGGGCATGTTACTTGACCATGACGAACCTACGAACTATGAGGAAGCGATGATGAGTCCAGATTCCGCAAAATGGCTTGAGGCCATGAAATCTGAGATGGGATCCATGTATGAGAACAAAGTGTGGACTTTGGTTGACTTGCCCGATGATCGGCAAGCGATAGAGAATAAATGGATCTTCAAGAAGAAGACTGACGCTGACGGTAATGTTACTGTCTATAAATCTCGACTTGTCGCGAAAGGTTTTCGACAAGTTCAAGGAGTTGACTACGATGAGACCTTCTCGCCCGTAGAGATGCTTAAGTCTGTTCGAATCATGTTAGCAATTACCACATTTTATGGTTATGAAATTTGGCAAATGGATGTCAAAACTGCATTTCTTAATGGATATTTTAAAGAAGAGTTGTATATTATGCAACCAGAAGGTTTTGTCGATCCTAAAGATGCTAACAAATTGTGCAAGCTCCAGCGATCCATTTATGGTGCAAGCCTCTCGGAGTTGGAATATACGCTTTGATAGTGTGATCAAAGCATATGGTTTTGTATAGATTTTTGGAGAAGATTGTATTTACAAGAAAGTAAATTGGAGCTCTGTAGCATTTCTAATATTATATGTGGATGACAAATTGTTGATTGGAAATAATACAGAATTTCTGGATAGCATAAAAGGATACTTGAATAAGAATTTTTCAATGAAAGACCTCGGTGAAGCTGCTTATATATTGGGCATCAAGATCTATAGAGATAGATCAAGACGCTTAATTGAACTTGCACAAAGCACATGCCTTGATAAAGTTTTGAAGAAGTAATATAAACTTCTCTTTCTAACAGCTTCAAATTGATCTCTCGAACTAAGAAGGCATATCTTGATCTATCATACATCTCACTTTTCACCATATTTATGGCTTCCATACAATCAGATTCCACCTGAAGCGAAAAATTGCTTCATTACATAGCGAGGGAAATTCTTCAGAAAGAGCATTTAGTTCTGTTTCAAGTGCATCATGGCATGATAAAATATGACGACAAGCGGTAAATATGATCTTCCCTTCAGTATCCCGAAGGACCATGCCTGTCAAGGACCATTTCCCGAAGAACCATCATAACTTTCTACTTCTTAATATCTGGATTGTTCTGCTTAGGGAATATATGACGCATTTGAATTAAGAAATGGACTCATGGAGGATCTGAAATGTGATCTCAATGTTCGTTTACATACCACCTTTTTTATTCAGATTGAAGGTATTCTACAGTTATAATAAGTCAAGCTTTTGTTATGCATTCCTTCTTCCGACAACAACAGTGACACATCTCCATCCACCACCACACAAATTTGCAGCAAATGATGCTCTCTCGCACCACAGATAGCAGTATGTGCTTGTTGATTTTACAAGTACAGTTGTCCTTACCATAAACATATCCGACCATTTAAAATTTAGGGAGACAAAGGCAATTGGACAAGGAATCTTAGTACTTTTGTTGGATGGTAGGAAAATTATGTAGCCATCGTGAAGGAGCCATCACGAGAGGTCCTGCCGTTAATGGCAGATTTGTACAATGATGAACGGTGATCTCTTTACATATGTATGGCTAATATCCTTAGCTGGTCAAAAGATGGTTTGATGGATGGTGAAGATCATGCGAGCAAAACTTGAATATATATACAAAATTAAACACAACTCCTGTGGTCCAACGAAGATGATGATTCCCTTATTCTGCCGTACAATTATTTCCATTTTTTTCACTAAAAGGCGTGAATCCGTTGTTTTTCCTGCATGGCATAACAATTTAAGTGAGTATGTTCTGTCAAATTACGTGCATAGTTGACGAGACACAAAAAAATCTCCACTAGCTTGTAGTATCTTCGTGGGGCCGTCGTCATTTGTTCCTAGAACATATATAAATCATTAAACATGAATCTCCACTCAACAGCTAAATGCTTAATTGACGAACTCAGTGTAATTAAGATTGTTAGATTCCCAGTGGTGGAACCAACTCATCAAGGTTCAAGTTCTAGGCTTGGCATTATTGCTCATTCAGTGAAAAAAGACATTGGCCTTTGTAGTGACTTCGCCAATCTCAATATGTGATCCTCACTCAGTATTTAGAGGTTCTCATAGGACTAGGATGTGTGTGGATGGGTATACGTGTGTGTATGTGAGCATTTGGACGCTTAATTTTAGACATTGCCAGCTGTATTTTTCTTAGAAAAATTCGAAAAAGGGTTTCCCCCCACTTTGTATTACAAAGCACTCAACCGATACAGCCAACGGTAGATGCTGGGGCGGAAGTAATACAATCACATCCAAAAAAGTCGAAAGAGAAATAACAAGAGAAAAAATTGCCGACAACGGCGGATCGACGGAAACGAAGAAGCTTCACGACCACTGCGCCCACCGAAGATCTCCCATCAAGCTCCAACACTCCGAAGCACCGGTACCAACCAACACCTCCAAGAAGGATCGCGATGATGACGACGCTACTGTCAAGGGTTTCCCCCGATACATGACGAGGCGAGAGAAAGGGTCGCCCCCGACGCCCTCCGGGAAGGTCCGGCGGCACCCACCGGCGTCGCCGCGTCGTGTCGGACAGGCCGATAGGGGTTTCCCCCGATCCCAACCTTCACCTCGGATGCTCCAGAGCCTGCCACTAAACCGACCACCATCTTTGCGCCACCGTGGTCATGAAGCCTCCACGCCGTCTCACCACGGCACCACGATGTGAGGCCTGCACAACGGGGTATAGGAGCCGGGACTAGGGACCGCAGCACCGTCGGCACGTGCGAGGGCACAACCTCCACCGTCAACGACAGTAGCCGACCGGACACAATAGCAGGAGCATACCAGGCCCGTGGGCCCACAGGCCCGGCCGGGACCTCCACGCTCGTAAAGCTCCCGCCATCGCGCTGTAGCAGGCACCCCGTCGGCGTCGCCGCCCCACATCCGAGCTGCTCCTTCTCCACACCACACAGATGACGACGAAGCCACGCCGGAGGCCGGCCCGCTAGCATCCAGATGGGCCCACAAAGCACAGATCTGGGCCGGGGGCGCGCGCCGGCCAACCAGTGCCACCATGCCGTCTCGCCGCCAAGGGGCCACGCCACCACCTCGCGCGCCGCCGGCCACTTCCGCCGGGTCGCCGCCGAGCCAAGGAGCACCGCCGCCACCTCCATGCCCCGAGCAGGGAGCCGCGCGCGGAGGGGACAGACAGTCCCGCCGCCGCCAACACCACCCGGCCAAGCGTCGGGGGCGGCCGTCGGCGGCGGCAGGGAGGGAGGAAGGAAGGCGGCCGAAGGGGGAAGGGGCTCGCGCCGCCCCAGCCACCTCCCGGGAAGGCGGCACGGGGGTGGATCCGGGAGGGGGAAGAGGGGGGAGGGGGGCAGGGACGGCCGGCGGCCGTCGGTGGTGGGGGCACTTAGAAAAAACTTGTGTGCAAGCATCATTAGCATCGGAAGAAAAGTACTGCTCTCGATTGCTCGTCCGCTAAACCCTCGAGCTTTTACGTACACTTCTTCCACTATATATATAGAACGGTGTGCAGGCACCTCACCTCACATGATCCCAAAGAAGCACCAGAGTAGTAGTACCAACGGCAGAAGCATTGAGCCTACGAGTCCCACCGAGCTAAACTACAGTGGCCTTTTGCCTTCCACTCTTATTTAGCATTCTCACATGGCTCGCTCAAAGGTTCTGTGCACTTGCATTCTGATCATCATCCTCAGCTCAATCCAAGCCGAGGCAAGGCGGCTCACAACTGCGACGGCGGTGACGGTGGCGAGCAAGGGGAAGGAGCCATGGGGCGCGTTGGAAAGTAACAGCCGAAGCTTGAGAGCAACTTCAAGTGAGACTAGCATAGCAGGGGCACAAGGGCTAAACGGCGGAGCCATGTCGACCGCGACTACGGTGGAATCCCGGGGGACGGCGCCTGGGAACAGTCCCGGCATAGGCAACAAAGGGAAGATCAACAACTAGCAACCTGGCAGTGTATATTTTGGTTCAAAGGCTATATAAGCCTGTTTACTTAAGTTGTTTCTAGTTCTCTTAACATTCTATGTTCTTGAATTATGTTCGTTTGTTGCGCGTGCATGTTTTCAGCTCGTTGTGGATCCAAGTGTGTACTCATGTTCTGCTTAGATTTGTTGAGATAAATAAAGTTGCGAGGGATTGCCAGAATTTATCATCATCTGCTTCCATTTTGAGCTGGTTCTCCTTTTCATTTCTCCTTGAATGTTATAAAAAAACTATTTTAAGCAACCCACTTGAACTCAGTTTATGGTTGTCGCTTATTTCCTAAGTCATTGCAGTTCTTTCCTCGATAAAGGTACTTTTATAACTCATAAGATACAAGTATAACGAAAGAAGTGCATATACCCTCTGATGTTTCATGTTTTTGCTATATCACCCCTTAGAACTCCAAACCCAGAGTTTTAATCCTCTGATCTACCAAAAACCACATCACCCCCTAGCCCATGTGGCATCGAATAGTCAAAGGAAAAAAAAAAGTTAAAATGGCCACCTTGGAGCGGGGTGCACGCAATCTCTTCTCTCCTCGAGCGCTGCACACGGAGAGCCACTCCCAAGAGCGAGCAAGCTCTGCCTCATCTGCAACGCTGTTACCACCTTCGACATTGTCCTCTCCGGCTGCGATGACTTCCGATTCACCGCACATCATGTGGTCTGGCTGCGACGAACTCTGCCTCCCCATGCGGAAGAATAGCGGCCCCATTCTTGCGGTTGGTGCACCAGGAGGCTTCAGGAGAGGCCAAGAGCAGCAAGTCCAACAACAGAACATCCAACAGCAAAAACTTGCCAAAACATTCTTTCTCGCACTATATACAAAGCAATAACTATCATACAACCTAGCCATATTTTTTTTGTCAAAAAGGGGAATGACCTGGACCTCTGCATCATCATCATACAACCTAGTCATATAACTCGACATCATCACACACGCACACAAGACAAGATACAAAAGATGTTGGAGAACAACTACACGTCCACACCAGTCCATATACAACTCCAAGAAAATGGCAGGTGGGAAAGTGAGGTCCGCTTGAAGTGGCCCAAGAACTCAACAGTGAACTAGTCACCACGAAGAGGAGAAGCTGCGCATGACGAACCATGGAATCCAAAGCAGCGCCTTTAGAAAGGTCACAACACCAGAGCGTCGCCGTCGCCTGATCTAAAGATCAGAGTTTCCTCGAAGCACATAGAGGACCAGGACTAACCGCAACGACGCCTTCAAAACCGCCAGTCTGACCATAGCCAGAGCAGGTTTTCACCCCGGCAAGAGACCCGTGTCTTCAAGACAAAATATGGCCAGTCGCAAGGACACCTGCCGCACCACCGCCACCGCACGCCGTACCCCGGCCATCACACCACCCACACGGCCATGATAACCAGTGAGCACTTGAGCCGCAGGCTCCGCCCACGAGCACCATCGCTCCCACCAGGAGGGCTAGCCGCATGATGCCGTTGGTGATACGAATGTCGTTGAGCCTACAAATGGCGGTCAGGTCCAGGTCGCGGAGCACGGAGCGGCCGGTCAGTCCAGGTCCTTGGGCATTTATTCCTATCAGGAACTCAGTACCATAATTGTTGAACTCAGTACCATAATTGCTTAATCAAGAGTCCAGACGCATATGCGGCTCTCTGACCCTTTCGTCCAGGAGATGGGCATGGCTGTAGTAGGTGAGACCTACAAGCAACAGCGGCGGAGCGTTTAGCTGCTTCCGGGCGTATCGATCGGCATCGGCATCGGCATCGGCATCGGGGTGCCGTCGCGGCGAGGACAAAGTACGACATCAACGTGATAAGCTTCTGCCCATCCATTTTCCTTGGGGGCTTCAATCACGCTCGCTTTGTTTCCCACAGTGAAGCAAACGGAAGATCAAACAGGCCAGGGAATCGCCAAGAGCGACGATGTGTGCGGGTGCAGCTGCGCTAGCTAGTTTAGGCACACGTGTTCGAGTAGTCTCTTGCGCGGTTGCGCGGTCTGAGCTGGGACAAACACCGGCGCACGTGCTCGGGTGCTGGCATCCGGTCCTGGGAGGCGGCAGTGGGCGGGGAAGGCCGCTCCTGTGCTGGTTTTGCTCGTCGTGTTGTGGCTCGGTCTCGTTGAGGGAAGGCCGCTCCTGTGCTGGTTTTGCTCGTCGTGTTGTGGCTCGGTCTCGTTGAGGGAGTGCAGATGGATTCGCCGGTGAGGCGGATGCGTCCGACGGAGCCACCGGAGAGGGTGCGCACGGCGGCGGGGTGTTTACGAGTTCTTGGACTCAACCAAACCCTCGCTCAGTCGGTACTGCGGTGGTGCCAGACGGCGCGGGAGATCTAGGTGATCGGCGACGAGATGAAGGAAGCGCGGGTCCGCGTTACCCGGTGGCTCTTCCAGGAGTGGGGCTGGAACATGGAGGTATGATGACGTGGCGATCACCTATCACTAGTCAATGTTCAACCGTGGTCAAATCTCTCGAAGGTGACTCAGGGGGTGAGTTCTCTGGTTTTTACAGCTCAAGGTATTAAGTTCCCGGTTTTAGAGTTCAAAGGGTGATGTAACCAAAATGCGAAAGTTGAGGAGTTATATACACTCTTTTTCAAATATAATGAGTTCAAGCCCCATCATTATATAGGTAAAATGCACATAAACAACAAGACACATATCCAAAAATATTAAAAGCCAAGAAATAATACCATGACTGGACTATCGCTGAGGGGGGACAAGGGCTGACCCGTAGTCTACAACCGGCATCCATGTTAAGAGAAAAAAAAATCTTGGTCATATGCTCCATAAGCACACACTCCACAGTAAGAGCATCTCCAACAGGTGTGTGGTTGCGCGGGGGGCTATATTCTTTTGCGGCGTCGAAGCGTTTTAGCGCGCTGAGCTAGTATTTGCTTTACCAGAAGTGCAAAAACACGGCACCCAATCCGGCGGCCCCACCTGCAGCAGCCCAGATTTTGCAACGCGCTCGAGCGGGCGCACCAAATAAGCAGCGCACGATGCCGTTTTTCCTAGCACGTTAAACCTACTTTGCCGCGCGCGGAATTTTAGCGCGTCTGCTGGAGTGCCAGTTTCGATCACGCGTGCAATATAATCGTTTTTTTAGCGCGTCTGTTAGAGATGCTCTAAGCAATCATTTTTCCTCTGGTTATGCAAAATATACCACGAATGGAGATAGTGCATACACGGGTAAACACCATGCAACAGACATAAGTGACTCTTTTAAAAGCAAAATCGCTTCAACATATTCGAAGTGACCAAACTAAACTGCCACCCCCACTCTTAAGGTTGCGATCAATGCCGCGTAATATCAAACTTTTTTTCTAACATTATGGAACTGATCAAGCTAGAGTCCCCTTTGAGGATTAACGGTGTAGCGTGTCTGAACTTGCATTGAAAATGGGGTGTTTGTTTTTCTGTTTAATATTCGTGACATAAACAACATTTCTTGCTTCCAAGCAAATACGCTTCATGAGGTTACACTTAGTTAGTATTACCCATTAGGACGGTACTACGGGACATCAAAAGGTTTGGACAAATCTTTTATATTTTTGCATTCCTAAATGGTGCATCACAATGGAGTAAAGCCTGGTACATGGTGTTGACCGTAAGGCACCTATTCGATCAAAGATTCGATCATAATTCGTTGTGCCTTGCGACAATTGGACTTTTGCCAAAAGGCACACAAGGGCGATCAGTGTCTCAAGCCTAGGACCAACTAGGTCTTGCCAAAAGATGAAGTGGGAGGTGAGGTTTGTTATGCACAATATGTAACAAGGCTTCGAGCATGTTTGGTTGCTTATATACTCCTCAACAAGGCCATGGGATGCAACTTTGACCCGGTTGGTTGTCTGGCCTGCACTAAAATCTTGGTCCATGTGGAAGTTAAAGCACCACCCAGCCATACCCACTAGGAATGGACAAATTGGTCGTTTTCTTCCAATAGGCTCTCAACGTGCAGGGAAGGGGGCATGGCGCTGAAGAAAATATGCCCTAGAGGCAATAATAAAGTTATTATTTTATATTTTCTTATATTATGATAAATGTTTATTATCCATGCTAGAATTGCATTAACCAGAAACTTGATACATGTATGGATACATAGACAAAACACAATGTCCATAGTAAGCATCTACTAGACTAGCTCGTTAATCAAAGATGGTTAAGTTTCCTAAACCATAGACATGTGTTATCATTTGATAAACGGGATCACATCATTAGAGAATGATGTGATGGACAAGACCCATCTGTTAGCTTAGCATAATGATCATTTAGTTTTATTGCTATTGCTTTCTTCATGACTTATACATGTTCCTCAGACTATGAGATTATGCAACTCCCGAATACTAGAGGAACACCTTGTGTGCTATCAAACGTCACAACATAACTGGGTGAATATAAAGATGCTCTATAGGTGTCTCCGATGATGTTTGTTGAGTTGGCATAGATCGAGATTAGGATTTGTCACTCCGTGTATCGGAGAGGTATCTCTGGGCCCTCTCGGTAATGCACATCACTATGAGCCTTGCAAGCAATGTGACTAATGAGTTAGTCACGGGATGATGCATTACAGAACGATTAAAGAGACTTGCCGGTAACGTGATTGAACTAGGTATGTGGATACCGACGATCGAATCTCGGGCAAGTAACATACCGATGGCAAATGGAATAACGTATGTTGTTATGCGGTTTGACCGATAAAGATCTTTGAAGAATATGTAGGAACCAATAATGAGCATCCATGTTTCGCTATTGGTTATTGACCGGAGATGTGTCTCGGTCATGTCTACATAGTTCTCGAACCCATAGGGTCCGCATGCTTAACGTTTGATGACGATTTGTATTATGAGTTATGTGATTTGATAACCGAAGTTTGTTCAGAGTCCCGTATGAGATCACTGATATGACGAGGAGTCTCTAAATGGTTGAGAGGTAAAGATTCATATATTGGAAGGCTATATTCAGACATCGGAAA